AGCTTCTGAGGCTCTGGGGGAGTGTCACAGTAGCCAGTGATGCTCAGCAGATTCGGCTCTCAAAATGAGTAGGACACTGAAGTACAGGCAGGACATATCTACGAAGAATCATCATCACCATGTGGCCCTTTCTTTTCTGCCATCCTATTGCCTAGACTTGGATATACGCCTACCCTGTGTTTCTATGGATGTCCAATACTCTAAAGAAGCCCTTTGGTTATGAAGCCTCCTTGGATAGAATGAGATTGAAGGTGGTGGGAGGATCAGGCACAGAGGGAAAAGAAAATTCACCCTGGGCATCAAGTAAACCAGTCCAGTGCTTCAAAAGAAGGAGCGAGGGCTACAGGCAAAAAGCGTGGGCATCCAATTAGAAGAGAATCGAGTCCAAAACCTAGGTCATCTCTTGCATTCAGATGGCTGTGGGAAGCCCTTTCATCTGGCTGAGCTTTAGAACGCCTGCATTTTAAGAGGGTCATAGTGGCATACACCTGTAATTCCAGCACCGGAGAGATTGAAAGAGGAGCTCAAATTTGAGGCTAGCCTGGGCTACAGAGCAAAACACTGCCTCAGTCACAACAAACCAACCCTGTCAGGCTTTTAAATGGTGCTGGTAATGCTGACTTTCTACGGTGACGGGAATTTGAAACGGGACGATCATGTATGACAGCCGCAATCATTGTGTTGATAAAGCAGGTTTCATGAGGGGCTCCAGCCCGCCACTGTCGGACACTTACCGTTCTTTTCCATTTCCTCCACGAAACACCTGAAAACACAGATTCCCATGACTACTACTTGGTAGCTTCCCTTACCGGGAGCCTCGCCGTTCCTGCCTGGTTATTCATCAGAGTCTAAAGTAAGATGACTCGAGACACTGGGTGCGAAAGTGGGGTGCTGTCCATTCAATGATTTCGTTTTCTTTTTCTTTTTAAACAAAAAGCATTTTTCTTTCTCTGCCGTCTTTGTCTCCATATTCTCTACTAAATGGCCTTCAAATGAGGCACAACTCTATGGGCCAGAACTAATGGCCTTGCAGTGGAGCTGAGCCTGCAACGCCATCTGGATTCCTTGAAGTTGGTCCAGACAGGCTTCCTAATGTGGGGGAGAGGAATCCATACTCACGGCAAAGGAGAAAAGGGGTCCTTGGCATGGTCCCAAGGTGGAGGTTAGATATCAAGTTGGCCAGAGCAGGCCTTGTGGCATGCCTCCTCTTTCAGGCTGCCCTATCTGGCTGAGCGGTCAAAGGCAAGCTCCCCAATGGCCTCGGCACCCAACCATATCTAGGTACCAGGGACCAACACAGCCGGCTGCCTTGACTAGGCTAGTGCGTGTGAGGCCAGAGAGCAGACGCGGCACAGACAGAGCTGCTGGCAAACCCAAAGGGGACCCAGGTGCCTCTCGTCTCCTGAAGCAGTTTCATGAGGAGAGGTTAGGTAACATATGGGCCCCAGCTTCTCTTTCCGCAGCTGTGGATCAGAACACACTGCTGCTTTCTGTGCAACGAGAAAGAGTCTCGGTGGTAACCCTGCCTGCACACTCCTGGTCCATTCTTTAGAGCAGGCACAAGTTCCTGAAGGTACAAGATAGGCTTACTCCACCCGGGGATACAAAAGATAAAAACAGATTCGACTCTGAGGACAAAGATAAATACAAAAGTGTCCGGGAAGAAACAAAACAAAGCCTTGGCAGCAGGGAACTGTGCTCTAAATTAAAACAAACTAGGTTAGTTCTAATATTATATATCAGGAATATAATATATTAGGAATATATACTATGTAAAATATATAATTATATATTTTTATACATATATAATATATTTACATATTTAATACATATATAATATATATGTATTATATAAATATATCATGTTAGTTTTAAATATATTATATACAATTACTAATACATTGTTAATTATTAATTAATTAGATGTTTATTACTTATAATTAAGTGTATAATAATAACATGTGGATAGAGAGAGAGGAGATGCTCACCATATTTATGTAGCCCAGACTGGCCTCAAATTTGATATCCTTCTGCCTAAAAGTAAGATCATTCAGGTAAATCCAGCCAAAGAGCATGCTTCCCAGTAATTTCTTAAATTAAAAAAAATTACATGCTGTAAAAAATGTTGCACTGGCTGGTTTTGTGTGTCAACACGACACAAGCTAGAGTCATCAGAGAGGAAGGAGGCTCAGTTGAGAAAATGTCTCCATGAGATCCAGCTGTAAGGCTTTTTCTCCATTAGTGATAACTGAGGGAGGGCCCAGTGCATGGTGGGTGGTGCCACCCCTGAGCTGGTCGTCCTGGGTTCTACAAGGAAGCAGGCTAAGCAAGCCAGTAAGCAGCACCCCTCCATGGCCTCTGCAGCAGCTCCTGCCTCCAGGTCCCTGCCCTGCTTGAGTCCCTGTCCTGACTTCCTTTGGTGATGCCGAGCGAGCGATGTAGAAATGTAAACGGAATAAACCCTTTCCTCCCCAAGGTGCTTTTTGGCCACAGTGATTTGTTGTTGCAATAGAAACCCTAACTAAACCGGGCAGTGGTGGTGCATAACTTTAATCCCAGGACTGGGGAGGCAGAGGCAAGTGGATCTCTGTGAGTTTGAGGCCAACCTGATCTACAAGAGCTAGTTCCAGGGCAAGCTAGGACTGTTACACAGAGAAACCCTGTTTTTGAGAAACCAAAAAAAAAAAAAAAAAAAAAAAAAAAGAAAAAAAAAGAAAAAAAGAAAAAGAAACCCTAAGACAAATGTCACCAGTCCGTGTGGAGTTACAGTTTCGTGGAATTTTTTTGTTAGTGGTGTGCTCTGGGTGTGGTTTTATTTTGTTTTGGGTTTTTGTTGTTGTTGTTGTTGAGAAAGGACTTAAAGTTGGGTGGGTAGGAAGGGGAAGAGATTCTGAAAGGATACGGGGGAAGGGAAGAATATGATCAAAATATATTTAAGTTTAAAAATTGTTTTAAAATATATAAAAATAAACTAATATGGCCATAAAAATGTCAACATCATGAAAGATAAAAGCAGCAGAACATTCTAGTTTGGAGAGAATTCAAGAGAAAGGTGGAGAGGTTGCTCAGTGGGCGAGTGCTTGGTTGCCTAACATGCAGAACATCCTGGGTTGGTCTCTGACTGGGGGTGGGTGGGCTGTGTTGTATACAGAGTGAAAACAAAAACAAAAACTGGACATGGCATTTTATTCTTTATTTGTTCCTGCCCCTCCCCTCCAGAATCTATAACAGGTTCCAACAATTGGCACCTTTGAGTATAGATTGAACAACGGATTATTTTCCTACTTTAGTGTTAAATCCCCTATGTAATATTTATCATGGGACTTTGTAATTGAACGTCCCTGATCTCTGGAGATGCTCACTGAAATGGTCAAAGGTAAGATGCTAACAATGTCTGCAACACACTTGCAAACTCTGGATGGCTCAGCAAAATGATGACGATGGTGATAACACTGATGATATACTACCCCCAACACTCACACTCGGGGCAACTGTGCAAAAAGCACAGATGAATGGTGTTCATGCGTGCAGGTTTTCTTGAAATCTTTGACATTTTTCTAAATAAAATAATAGGGGAGAAGAAAGGGGATGTGTTATTGATTTGAAAACATGTATAGGCATATCAAGCAAACATAATATGTGGGCCATTACTGAATCCCAGTTGGTCAAAGCAACTATCAAAAAGGAATCACCTGGGAAAAATCTGTGAAAGCTGGATATGCTTTAGGTGCTAGAGGGTATTAAAGAATCATGGTTTGGCGGCACTATAATGATCTTCAGGTATTAGAGAGGCACAGAAGTTTTTATAACTGGTGTGATATTTAGGACTTGATGTTACATAGGGTGGAAGGTAAAAGAATAAAAAAGCAAATAAGAGGAAAATGGGAAGAATGTGATAGCTCTTGAAGCCAGGTAATAAATATACAGGCGTTCTTCCACATTAGCATCTTAGCTTTGTGCCGGAAAATCACAATAAAGTTTTATTGAGCTCTAGAGAAGAACAAAAGGTAGGGGAGAGGGTAGAACTGGTGCTCAATGCATCTTACGGTTGCTCTCTTTTGTGGAATTTATAGAGGGAAGACATGAGAGTAAAAGGTGGACTATTAGGGAGGTGAAAAGGAAGAGGGGAGGAGGAGATGAAAAGGAAACCAGAGAGCGAGCATGGCCAAAGTGTATTATATGCATGCAGCCCAGTGCTTTATCCATTTAATACACATTTATTTTTAAAAGATCTTTTAAAAAATAAAAAAATATGAGGAGGGTACTAGCAAATAAAATAAATTTTGCCGGAGGATAGAAACAAACAACTTATAAATTAACCATTTGTAAATTGTAGCCTTTCTCTGTGACATTTGGGAACTTAAAGTTCATTTGTTTTTCCTTTCTTTTGGGTTCAAATCCCCCTCCCCTCCCTCCAGTCCTTCCTTCTCACTCAACATGATAACTAAACAGATATCTATCACTGTCCCAGAGGCTCCAGCATACACATTTTCACCCCTGTCTCGTGACAGAGCTGCTGAACTGGGTGCTTTGTGAAGAGGCTCAGGGTGACTCTGGGCTGGGCTCAGACCAGGACCTTGGACCTTAGACCTCTGCTCTAGTCGCTAGCGAGCTTGTCGTCTCTTGACCATCCAGAATGAAGGCAGCTCTAGTCTCTATAGTAACCACTCTGCCTAAAATCGGAATTATGTGGGGGAACAAAACGTTTAAAGCCAATTGGATCCATTCATCCCTGAACAATGTCAATTTAAGGGCTGTTACCCAAGTTGTTGGCTTACTGAATGGTCTCCCACCATGTGCTCCACGGAAGGAAGTGGGGGAGGGCAGCTGCAGCAAACACCCCATCCCATACAGAACCACGCATGCTTTTTTTTTTTCCCTTCTCCCTCTTCAAACATCTCTTTTATAGCCCAGAGTCATAAGCTCTTAAAACAAACTTTCAGGAGAGGCAGTTTTATGGCCCCAAGACTGAGAGGCAAAAGTAGAAATCTAAGACTCACCCACAGGCAAAGCAAGCTTCCCAGGAAGGATGAGGACTGAGCCCAAACCTGACAGCTGCAGGTAGGTCTCCGGACAGCTCTCCTCCGCAGTCAGCTTCCCCTCAGACAGTCCTTGGCAAGTAGTTGGAGCTAACACGGCCCTAAAATGGGAAGTGAAATTGTCCAGCCTGCAGCAATGTTCACCTGTTCTACGGGGGTCACAGGACAGTTTAATGGGGGTGACTTTAGGGTCTGATGGCAGGTATGCACAATAACTCATTTTAGTTCCGCATCACTGCTTCCCATCCGCCTGTCTCTACGAATGGGTTTCTGCTCCTCACTTCCCTCATTTTCTCCAACGCTTACCTCTAAACAGCTTTTGACTTCCAAAATATTGCCAGGGGTAGGGAATGGAATTCCTGTGCCCTGTTAAATAGTCTATTGTTTTAAAAACTTTTTCTTATGTTTTACCTTTTCCAAGTGAGACAATTTAAGCAACAGGATTCAACCTTTTCTCTTTCATCTTCCCTCTACCCAAGAAACATGAAGACCAGCAGTTCGCTTAGATGCTTTGAAGGAGCATTTACAAGACTTTGCCAGTGACCTGTAACCGACATGCCAACAACTGAGTCTCGACACAGCCAGGCTTGCCGGGCTTAGCAAATGGAAATCCGGGTGATCAGCTCCATTTGAAATTTGGATGAGTAATTGTTTAGTCTGAATAAGTTTCAAGTAACACATGAAACCTACATCTAATAAAAAAAATGTACATTATGTCTTAGGAAATCATGTTTCACTGGGTACTTTGTAGTGTGCCTAACAGCCCTAAGTCACACAACACAATTAGCTACTGTCCTGGAGTATGCGCAGAAAATTGTTTCCAACCACAAAGACCTGGACTGGAGAGAGCGGGCCATAAAGGAGACCTCAGCGCAGGGAGCTGTGTATGCCAGGTAACCTAAGTCGAGAAGAACTGGTTTACCAGTGACCTGAGGAGGATTTGGGAAACGGCAGAAGGTTTCTGAAGGCTGGTATAGGGTACCTTGTGTGAAGCGGCCTAAGTCAGCTAAGGAGAGCCTGGTGTCATTCAGTGGTAAGGTATTTGTCTAGCATGTGCTGGGTTCAGTCCTCAGCACTATTCTAAGAAGTCATTTAAGGAGGAGGGAGATTATTCAGCAGGCCGTGGGGTGTCCCTAGGTCTCATGCAGGGGAGTGACAGGGTTGCACTTGTTTGTAGGAAACGCTCCCATCGGAGAAGACCTACGACAGTGGTTCTCACTGTGTGGGTTGAATGACTTTGGGGGTTGAATGACTCTTCCACAGGGATCACCTAAGACCATCAGAAAATGCAAATATTTACAATGCAGTTCACAGCAGTAGCAAAACTACAGTGATGAAAAAGCAGCGAAAATAATTGTATGGCTGGGGGTCGGCACACATGAGGAACTGTATTAAGGGGCTGCAGCATTAGGAAGGTTGAGAACCACTTCACTAGTAGAAGAGGCTACAGTGAGCCTTGGAAAGGCCGTGAAGGCATCCCGAGGGAGTCCCCGATAAGGACTGAACCCGAGCCAGCGTGTTTTGGAGATAAGAGAACAGAACGAGTGAATCTGAGAGATGACGACCCCCGCTTGTCAGAACTGTTGATGTGCAAGGCGCTTGGCGGTGAGAGTCAGAGCCCTAGGATATCTAGCTTGGGAGCTGGGAGAGCAAGGCTAATGGGCTTGGCCATGAACACTGCAGGGCAGCCTGGTGATGAATTAACGCCAATCTAGGATGGAGCCGTCAGTCAGCGTGTCCTAATTAGAAACCTCTCTCCTTAGATGTAGTTAATTAACAATTGGAAACCCCAATCAGGAGCCCATCACCTTCAGAGTGAATCCTTGGCCCTTCAGAAGTCTATCTGGGTCTGTTCCAGAGGCTTTACGGCTCGGCATCTAATGGAGACAGGTCGTGAGCTAGAAGGATGGCACAGCCCCACAGCCTGGCATGGAGAAGCTCATGAGCCCATCCGTTTCTCATCATCTTCAGAACTCAACCCACAGCTGCTGCGTCTGTCGACCTCTACTGACCTTGACCCCTGGGGCAGAAAGATTGGCCTACATTACCTTTGAAATACCTTTGCATTTGCTTTTTATGTCTGTTACAGGTCTGTCCATATTTGATGCAGGCCACCTTTTCTTTGTGGTTGTTTTGTCCTTTTTATTTGTGTGTGTGTTTGTGTTTGGTTTGGGTGTTGTTTTGAGACAGGACTTCATTCTACCCAGAATGGCCTAAAACTCTTGATCTTCCTGATTCAGCCCTGGGGAATCACCGGGTACTCTGTGAGCCAAGTTCCCTTTAATGCATTCAGTAGCACTGAGGTTGTAATCAAGAGGACCGGGAATCTTCCCCACGTTTACCTCCCGCTGCCAGAGACCATTGTACCTTAGTGGTACCTAAAGGACATTAACTATTGGTTACATATCCAGTTTACCTTAAGGTCCTCCAAGACAGAAACCAGTGAAAATTAATGGCAGGTCAAAGGGCAATGTCTCCTTTAAAGTTCAACTTGCTTGCTGCCTCACCAGGCCCAGGTCTCCCAAACATGCTATTTCCTTCATGCCTCCTGTGCAGACTCCTTCCCCCCACCCTCTCTGAGCTGGATCTAATCAATGACGTTCAGCTGAAGAAACATGATCCACGCATGACAACTTTCTAAAAAAGCCTGGAAAGACTTAAAAAATAAAGGAAAATAAACTCAAGCATCCCTCCACAAATGCGGGCTCCAAATAGAAGGTTTCATTGTCAACCTTCCAGACGTCCAGGCTCCACTGCTGTTTTTGAAAGACATTCCAATAACAGATGCCCCTTTAATTGGGGGCATGATTTGATAAAAAGCAGCAGGCACGATTCAAAAAAAAAAAAATCCTCTTGAGACATGTCAGGGCAAATTAGCTGTGAGACTGAAACCATTTCCCATTGGATTAAATGAAGTTACCCAGATAAGTAAATATGAACAACATTAGGAAGACGGGTACAGTGTCGTGTCCTCCACGGGGGGGGGGGGGGGGGGGGGGGGGGGGGGGGGGTGGGGGGAATAATGAGGCTCTTTTAGACATTGATAGCAAACGTGGACTCTCGTTTGACTATTTTAAAATATCACAATGCCCCTACTCTATGTCTGCCTTTTTCTCCTTCAGAACCTCTGTAAGATGAACTGCCTGTGCCCTGTGTACCTACCTAGAAATCAGTGTTCCTGTGTTCTGCCTGCTGGTCCCATGTGGAGTATGTACGCTAACAAATTAGGAAATGGACATCGGAAGAAAAGTTGACGATATTCTTCAAATGGCATTTGGCAATCACGTGCACCTTTTGTTTTTCAAGATCCCATGGCCTGATTAGCATAAATTATTGACTTGACCTCAAGTTACAAGCAAGGTTTCTCCCCTAGCAACTTGCAATTTAAAAATAAACTTCTAAAAAGACAAAGTTTGTTGGCTTGCTTTTTGTTGTTGTTGTAGCTTTTGATTACTATTTCCTGAGCTGCCTTGAAGAGTTAGACACATAAACTTGGCATCAGCTTGTTTCTATGCCCAATTCTGTCACTTTCACTACTTGGTCACTTTATCTAATTGGTACCTGGACTAAATAAAAATGAGGAGAATCTTTAATTATATAAAGTTTATTGTCAGCATTAATTAGTCCCCCATAGACTCATATATTTGCATGCTTGTTTCCAGTAGACGAACTCTTGGGAAGGATTAAGAGATGAGGCCTTGTTGGAGTAGGTGTATCATTGCTGGAAAGCCCATTCCAGGCCTAGTCTCTCTCTCTCTCTCCTTTCTTCCTCTCCCTTCCTCCTCCCCCTGCCCTCTCTTTCACTGCCTTCTTCCTGTAGATCAGGATATAGCTCTCACTTCTCCAACACCATGCCTGCTTGCCTGTATGCCCCATGCTCCCTGCTGTGATGATAATAGACTAACCTCTGAAACTGTAAACTAGCCCCCAATTAAACTCCGTCTTCTATAAAAGCTGCCTTGGTCACAGTGCCTCTTCACGGCAATGGCCAGTGACTAAAACAGCCATGTTACTTACTACTAAGAGACGTCACTTCTGGAATGGAGTCTTGACCAACTTTCCAAAGTTTCTGAAATCGAGGAATAGGAGACATTCCTGGTGACAGGGAGAACGGTGACTCAAGGGGCAGAAACAGAGAGCAGAATAGGAGCAGCAGGGGCAAGTTTGTCTACACTGAGCATGACGTGCTGACAGAGAAGTCCCCAAGTAAGGGACAAAAGTCAGAGATGAAGATGCAGAACTAAATCCCTTGTAAGAAGGTAATGATCAAAGTCATGCAACTAAGAGAGAGAGCACACCAAGGGTGAAGGCAAAGAAGAAGGGGAGAAAGCTAAGGAAGATCCTTGGGGTCCTCTGCACACATGTTCAAGAGCCAGGGAAGGACTTACGGGATAAGCGGAGAACCTCAAAGGAGCGCTTCTGAAGGAAAGTTAAGACACCCACAAAAGGGTTACCCACAAAAGGGTAACCCACAGTTCCAGTGCCTCATTCCCAAATCAAGACAATCAGAGGATATAGAGCAGCAGGGGACCCCTGGCGATCCTCTAGAGCAGGGGTGGTGGGGTGGGGATCCAAACCTGAGCACAGGGTTTAAGAAAAGGGTCCCAGAAGAACCAATCTGGAGCAGGAACGTGTGTGCTTCCTCTTTCCAACAACTATGGCATCATCAGAGAGGTAGAATCTCAAAGTGTGGAAGGGAAGGGACTGTCAAGAAAAGGCTATCTTTAGCATGGTACAGGCTGGGCATTTCTCTCTCTGTGGAGAAGGAGCCACAAACAGGGGACAAGTGCAGGGATGGAGTCCTGGAGGCCAGGGTTCGGGTGCAAAGGGAGTGCTAGATTTGAAGCTGAGTCATTCCTAACATCAGCTCCCAATCATCTGGAATCATCATTCCCCCTCAGGTGGATTCCTGGGATCCATCGCTCAACAGGGTCTGTTTCTGGTCTTCACCAAGCACGGCATCTTTAAGGAATAGTAAAATGCTATCATTTCTGAACCCAAATTAACTTTAGAAAACCAAAGGTTCCCACTGTCTTAGCTGAGACAATGGTACCCAGCATGGCCAATCTGTCCAATAATGACTAGCTAGTGACCGAGCCTG